TAGTTCTCTCTTTCCCCTATATCAAATTTTCATGCCATTTGAATGATTTTTCGCAGTTCTATGAACATTTGAATTTAGGCCTTTTCTTTGCAGATTTAAAAATTTTCGCAAACTTTTGACCGGTAGTGTACATAGTTTTTAAAACAAGTGATTTATATTTAATTGGTTAAATTAAATATAAATCGACTAGTTATTAAATGTAAAATTGATTGGTTATTACTTATAAAAAACATATATTTCTCACTATATTTATATGAACATATATTTTTGCTTTCATAATAAATTTTTATTTAATTGACTACGCGACATAAAGATTTTATTTTGTTATCACTTTCTGACGTATGTGATATTACTTTAAAAACTTTAATCATCTATTAACAATATATTTTATTCGGTTATTTTTGCACCAAGAAGTAAAAGAAATTATTAATAAAAAATCAATAGGCTTATCTATTTTTTTTTCTTTTTTCATTTAAAATAAAAATATCCATGCGTGCTCTCAGATAAGAAAAAAATAACTGAAAGATATCAGCGTGATAAAAGAAATTTAAGCTTCCCACATCTTTTTCTCTCATACTAAGAACAGACAAAGAAAAAACATTTTTGTGTCTGGATATCTAAGATATTGTTAACACAATGGGAGCCAAAGAAAAATCTTCTGTTTAAAATAAAACTTTTTTTTTCTGGATTTTGAATCAATAGCTTGATGTTAAATTCGATCGTTCACCGTATAATGCTCACGCAAGAAAACATTAAAAGAAATTACATTTCTTTCCCTCTTTTTTGGTCATTACCTTTCCGTTTCCTTTTTAGAAAAAAAATAACTCTAATTTGGTGGTGTAAGACTCAAATTGGAGAGGGCGTAAGTAGTGAAAAGGATAAAAAATCTTGAAAAGGTTGATATTGAGAAAAATTATTTCAAGTAATTGCATCGACTCTTATTTGTGTGCATTTTCCCAGTTTTCAAAAAAAAAAAAATTAGTCAATATACTAGTCAAATAACCATAAACATTTTTTCAGATAATATGTATTGCTGAAAAAGTTTTGTAACCATTATTACACAGACGTACAGTTAATATTTTTTTGGCATAGTAGTTTGGGATTAATGTTGCAAATGGATATCAACAAAAACGCTGAATTCTCTAATGCTTATACCTAATTATGGAATAAGTTAATAAATCCAATAACTAATAAAGTTATGTTTATCTTTTTTGCTTTTGAAATAAATTAATTTTATGGTTTTTAATATCAATTTTAACTGATTTTTACACAAATTTAAAAAAAATGGTTCTAAGATAAAAAGAAAATATTTAGTAAATATTGATTTGCTAAGTTCACTTAACGTAAGTAAACAATTATCCTGCCTTAATCAGGAAATTGATCTGATAGGCTGATAAATTCAATAATTCATAATGCTATATTTATCTTTTCTCATTTGAATAAAGTATTTTTCTGGTATTTAAAATTAATTTTAACTGATTTTGTAGAGAAATTATAAAGAAATATCACTAAGATAAAATTTGAAAAAAAAGGAAATATTTAGTAACTATTGATACGCTAAGTTTACATAACATAAATAAACAATTATACTTCATGAAAATGAAAATTGAAATCTGTAGTAGGTTGATTATAGTTTTACTATTATGAGGTCTGAATTTCAATACTCAAGCCAATCTTACTTTTTTTAAACTTATTATAACCAAACTCTGAATGGTTTTATATTACGCGCAATTTAGTTTTCGTTCTCCTTTCAAACTGATATTTTCTCTAAAAGATCGAATTAAAATTCTCTAGGTCGATTCTCTAGCTCACAGGTTAAGGCAATAATTACTATAAAATGTAAAATTGAAATAAGAATAAAACAATTAATATAAATAGCACAAACAGCCAGTTCATAATGAGGAAACAACTTCAGTAGCATAGGACAACATTTCCCGTAGCGGGCGGCTATACAATTTTTAATGGTCATGATGTAAATTACTCCTCGCACTACCACCAAATACGAATCTCGAAATCAGAATCTTCCTGTAGAAAGATTTTTGTAGGCAAAGGTATCACATTAAAGATAGAAAAATTCAATTGAAATATTTTAAAAATGCCCGAAATTTCTTGTCCAATGTGGATTTTTATTTATTTATTTAATAACAGCCGTTGAACAGCAGACCCAATTTGGAGTTCGCGACTATCAATGTTCATATTCGTCTCCTTCTAATTTTGAATCCAATTCAGGAGAAAACTGAACTCCTGGATTGAGAATGCCTCTGTGGAGGACTTTTTGATGGAACTAACCAGCGTCGCGTTACATAGAGAGAAAAAAGAGGAAAACAACCCAAAGTTAACCTGACGGCAAGGGTGGTTTTAACACTCATGATCCATCTATCACTGACATATTTCGTCAGCACTGTGATTGGTTCGAGCCGGGATCGGAATCAGTATCGTCAAACCATTGTTCGGTTTCGAAACCGGGTTGCCTCTTTCGGAGGGGAGTGCTCTCTCTCCCTTGAGCCTCCATGGCCCTCCAATGTGTATTTTGAACCGAATACTTCGTAAATTATCACGCGGGTTCCTTCTGATTTTTTTTAAGATGAACAAAAATTTCTGGTAAAATTACAGAACGGTATGATATGCGAATGTATGGTAAATAACTTATTTATATTAGATATTTGGTGTATTTCCTAACTAGCAACTGTTCTCGTTCTTTTTTATTTTTCTTAAAAAAATTAATAAAGATATCATTTACCTTCTGCTTCATTAGATTCGGTGCTGCTCACATGCATAGTTATCTGCTTGCTTCTTCCCTTGTTGTTGAGAGAGTAAACAATTAGCACCAACGACTCTCTGGAAGGCAGAGAGCAAACAGTAAATTTAGGAGCAGAATGGGCGGTGACGTTGGATAAAAACTTGTCGGAATCAGTTCCAAATATCTCCAACTGGAAAAGTTGAGTGAGCCCTCCATCGTGTCCCATTTCACACTCTAATACTAAGCAATGTGTGGTACGGTTGGAAATAAGGCAATTGCGTGGCTCCTCTGGTGGTCCTGTTGGATAAATTAAAGATTTGAATTAGCTTAGCGATAAGAATTTTAATATTTTCAAGCATTTAATGTCAAGAACATATTGTTTTATCAAGGGAACATTCTATTTCTAAGCAGATGACCAGAAAAAAAGTTCGTTATCGCTAAACATTGACCAGATTGAAAATTATTAAAGATTTTGGCTCAATTACTTTCGTGAAATTATTTTTTTTTTTTAAGTAAAATATTTTTTTTTGCTTTGTTTATTTATTTATGTTTTAAATATTGTTTCATTGAAAAGTTTTATGGTTACATTTCATCATTAACTTTCTAGTAGCTATGCTCTTCATACCAACATGATAGGAAACGAGTGTATTTTAGATACACTAACATAAAATGGGAATTGATGTCAAAACTATATTCTAGTAAGCTTGCGATTACTACTTACTAATTCAATTACGCGATTCTTAAAAAGCCAAACGGAGACATTTTTAAATTATTTAGACTAGATACATATTGACCAATAATTTACAAATAAAATAAATAAAATCTCATACGTTTCTACTGAATCATTGATATTAACAGTCTTACAGAACAAAAATCAATATGGAAATAAAAAATTTGACTGAAAATGGGGTATAGAAGAAAAAATAATTTCCAAATTACTGACAATATTTCTCAAACCTTTAGAAAATGGCTAAAAAGAGGTCAAAGAAAGATATAAGAATAAAAATAAAGCAAAAGTTTGTCTCTAATTTACTTCCTACGTACACCTGCCTCAGGAAAATAAAAAGTGCACATCTTTGTACATATTAAGACATATCTGAATGTTTAGTTTTCTGTTCCTCCTCTTCGTGGAAAATATTGTTTATTCTATTTTCAAAAATTAGAGATAATATATCATAAATTATAGGCTTTTATCTTTTCATTAGAGAATAATTGATGACATTAATTTTAATTTTAGGAATTGCCCATTTCAAAAAATTGTCTACCTGCAGACAATTAAGATAGCTTCTGAACTGGAATCTGGACTTTTTATCATGATGAAGTACAAATACGTTTTAGCTTTACAATAGTTATGAAATAATTGATCCAAAAATTTATATTTTAAATTACATACCAGCAGGAATGATCCTAAATGTGCATGGCTCCCTCTGTCTTCCAACTGCGTTACTAGCCCAGCACATCAGAAGTCCATAGTCCTTGGGGGACCTGGGTGATATTGTTGCGACACTATGAGATCCATTGCTAGAATACTGTTCAGTACTAAGTATTTTGGCCCCATCTAATGCCCATGTGAAGGATACTGTAGAAGGACTTGCGTCTACCTCACAAGCAACTGAAACAGATTCAGTTTGCCCGACACCATAAATACTGCTGCGGACCGAAACACAACGAGGAACATCTGTAGATAAAATAAGCTTTGGTTAAGATATTTAAAGCAATCATGAAGTTTTAAAACGCAATATTAACACTGTAATGTGAAACATTGCGAAAAAATAAATTGAAATTTGTTCTTATATTCTATTTTATATGGTGAGCTGAAGTATTTTGGTAAACAAAATTTATTTGTTTATTTAAAGTCTATCAATTATCGATCGGTAAAGAGCGTAATAAATGACACAGTTTAGTACACATCATGTTGATTGAGGATAATTGCATTAATTTATTTTTAAATTAATATGATTAATTTGAAAACTAAACTTCGTAAATATTTTAGAAAAATGTAGCTCTCGGAAATACAAGGTAAATATTAAGAAACCAGACAAAAATATTTTATTATAATTTGTACATCAGAATATGAATTATTTGTATATACCGATAATTAATTTTGTGTAGTATTATTTGGAGAATAAAAAGGGCAACATTAATAAAAATTTAAGAACAACACTAGGCACTCAAGCAATTATTTTTTCATTTAACAAACCAGTTTCATCAATTCATAATTTTAAATATAATACATTGTAATGACACAATAATTATTCATTCTATTGCAATAAATATTGCATTATAACTTATGCATTGGGAATTGCATCAATATACACAATGATAAATAATATATGGCTTATAATATTAACAGTTAATAGACAATTCCGAACTTTTTTTATAGACAATTGCAGTGATTATTTTATCATTAAGTTTGATACATAACAATATATATATATATATATATATAGATAGATATACCAGAAAGNTATATATATGTGTGTGTGGGGGGGGATGGGGGGGATGGGGGAGTGTTACATTAGGTAATATTATTTTATCAATGAGCAATTAAACTCACATTGTACTTTGAGCAATACAGGTTCACTGACAGATTTTCCTTCACTGTTGGTGGCTACACATTGATAACGCCCCTTATGTTCTGAAGTTACATTTGAAATGTGCAATATCCTGCTTCGGGTACTTTTCTTGGATGTGGGACCTAAGGACTGACTGTCCTTCAGCCACTCCAGCTCTACTATTGGTGGGTTAGCTTGAACAACGCATGTCATATTGATAGAATCACCCTCTTGAATTGCAGATTCCTTATCAACTTTTACTGATAATTGAGGTGGAACTAAAAATAAAAAATAAAAAACTTTATAATTTTCAGAGTAATACAAACATTTATATAAGAAACGTTTTAAATACTAAGGTTTATTATTAGGTTTTTTATAATAAACCTTATACTTCCTAATTGTTAATGTTATATCTAGTATTCATATATCTAGTATCAATATTTGAATGCATGTGAAAAAAACTTATTTAGCTTTTTATACAGTAAAGCTATTTATAGAAATAGAAGATTCTGACTTTATTTGTGTCGTCGTATCTGAGAATTGAGTAACGAACATATTATACTTCTTTCACTTACGCTAACATCACAAATAAAGACTACTTATTTTTTTTCTTTCTCTATAGCTGTCAGATTAAGAAAACCAAGCTCAATTTTTACAACGAATGGGATTTGACACATGTAAGCAGATCCGAATGATATCCGGATTTTTACAAAAAAGCAAGGAAAGCTCTGATTGGTCTAAGAAACTAAGTCACCACATTGAGACGCAGCTTTGAAATATTGAAGTTTTAAACTCTTCCATCAATTGCAAACTGCATCCCAAAAGTTTTGCTGCATCCTACTGCCTTATAAAAAAAAAAATTTAGATCGTTTCGTCCCTCCCCCCTTGGCTGCTGATAAATTGCTTTATAGATCGTTGAGAGCAGTTTTAGACTTAACAAATATTTTTTTTCCTCCAGATATTGCAAACAAATGTTTTGGTGGAATATTCCTTTCTATCCAGAGATTTTGCATCTAAGGTGTGAAAAAACGTCGGAGTACGGAATACGGAGGAATGTCCTTTAGTCAAAAGAAAACACCTGTCTGCATAGAAAATACCTGTCAATGTAATTAATGTGCATTTATTATCCTTTTTTTCAAAAGTTGTGATTATCACAAATAATAACCGATTCAACTGGGATAATTACCCCGTAGGAACGTATGTGTTTCGGAAGATTTACGCTTGCATTCCTTACGATGGTTCTTTTTTATTTTTTATTTATTATTTTTTTTTAGGGACCATTGCCAGATTTACCCTGTACTGTCGTCTTTAAGGTTGAGGGTCATTTCATGGGTCACACTTACTCGGTATTCCCTTCCAGGACACCTCTTTAAAATTTTAAAATTAAAGGCCGTTGCCTGGTTTACACTAGCCCGGTATTTATTACAGTTGATAGTTTTTGAGGTTAATGGTCATTGCAAGGAATTATCAAAACTATATTTTTGTAACTTATTCTAGGAGTGGAATTTGTCACCACCGCTTAGTGATAAAAAATTATAGGAATTCCCAAATTCTAAAATCGAATTTTGCTTGAAATCGAAAATGCTGGCATGCATTTTTTATACCCATACCCATCAGCGAAAAAAATTATAACTACTTTTATCGAGAGGCAGTGTGAAGATGGATTATAAAACAGAAACATAAATTCCAAACTCCCTATGTAATGACGTGATTATTTTTACCAATCAGAACTTTTCTTGACTTGGTAGGAAGCTGGATTTTGGGGTGGTTTAGATGTTTATATTTATAGAATAAAATCCAAGACAAGCTAAACGTTCTTTGTGTAATCTCTATTATTAAAATTATTAGTTTATTTTTTAACTACTTTGTTGAATGTTTTATGGTATATATTCCTTATCCTCTAAAATAATAATAAAAACATTCACGAAAAAAAATTTTTTTTGCCCTATTGCATTGATGGGACGAAGTCTTTTCACTACTCTCTCTCTGCTTATCGGCTGAATGACCAACGCTCTTAGACTTACTAAACATAACATGTAGTAACTTTAAAATAGTTTCTAATAAGCATTTTAGCCAATCGCGTTTACCATTATGAAGTAGCTTTTGAACACTTATCTGCAATGAAAGTCTCTCGAATATTCTAATACTCATGAACAATGCTACTCAAAATAAAAATAAAAAATAATAGTATTTAAATAGGCAGGGAAAGTTTTAATACGTGTCATATTGTACACATAAGTGTCTAAACATAAGTGTCATATTGTAAAAACTAAAAAACCTTCAAGAAAAAGTACTACTAAAAGTAGGTCATTTTGAAACATGCAATTTTGATTTAAGATAATAATACAGTTAATCAAATAAGATAACTTAAAAACAAAATCGTAACTTTGTTTTCCCCAATTAAATTGAATAATAAAATGCGACTTTTAAAAGTATTAAAATTAAATTTTAGTGCTTTAAGGTTTTAGTGACTTAACTCTAGCGCCTTTTATGATAATTATGAAAATTTAAAAAAAAATGTCAATATGAAAACGAAGTCACGATTCTTCTATTATCCGACTTTCAAATAATTGAAAAGCTATATTCTAATGCTGTATTGCTTAGATTCATAAGAATTTCCTTGAAAAAAATTAAGAATTATGGATTTTAATGACGTTCTTCTAAATTGATTTTTTTTCAAAATTGGAGATTTAAGAAATGTTATTTAAGAAAATATATATATGTAAACTATATTTGGTCCTGGTGAGAACTATGTTCAGTGTTTGAGGGTGTATATGCAAGATAATAAAATTTTGCTTTGTCAATTATTACGTCACTCATAAAATCTATGTTAAGTAATACTTACAATGAATATCTAATATCCACGTATCCTCCAAAACACTATCTGGTACTTGAGGATTGTCACCCCTACAAGACAAATTTCTCTGATTGTCATGCTTGGTGGGACCAAATAACAGACTGCTAACTGTCAAGTTTTCATCACGAACAGTACTTTCTGTAATTCGTGAAGTCAATTTCTCTCCATCTAGCCACCAAGAAATTTGAGCAGGAGGCCTTGCACCACTGGCTACGCACACAATTTCCGTAAAACGCTCCACCGATATTGGTCTGTACATGCTTGTAATCCTCACATCGGTAGGTTTCACTGAAAAACAAAACACTGTTAGAAATTTCTAAGAAAAACTGGTCGAATCACATTTATCTACTAGTTATTTTAATATATAGTAGAAAAACATTCAAATAACCTTTAAACTGGTAGTCAAACTGTTAACTGCGAGAAAAACAGTTTATTTACTGCTTTCACCTAATACAGTTAAGCAACCAGAAATTTATCACTCCAATTAAGCAACCCTAATGCTGCCATTTAGTTCCTTGCATCTGCGTACATATTATAGTCAAGGGGGCTTTTCTGGCAGTCTCGTGACAGACAGAGCTGGGGTCGAGCCCCAGGGATGACTCCGTAATAATGCTTCCATTCCCTCCAACACATGAAGAATTTTTAGTGCTCTGCTATCTTCAATGCCCATTACCTAACGAAAAGCCTTGCTCCTATAGATTGCTGCTGATTATTATATCATAATTTTAAAATGAAAATTCTAGCAATGGAGATAATTATAGATGCAGGTTTCATTTATTTCGAATCTCATATAAGCAGTAGGAAGATATACGAGGGTTGTAAATTAAATAGTGGCAACTTAACCTTTAAACTCACAGAAGGACGGGCATGCGCAAATTAGATATAGGAGCTGTGAGGTGGGGCTGTTGTCGATGTGTAGAGTGCAAAAAAAAGTCGATTAGCTTAGAAGGGTAGTTGTTGTGTGGCGTTAAAGTGAGGAGTCTCGTTTCCATCGCTCTAAAGCATGTTTTCAAAAGGTGATCAGCGGTCGTGGCTTACAATCGAGGTTGCCCGTGGCAAAAATGCAACAGAATGCTATCGAGGATTAGTGGAAGCCTTTGGAGCAAATGCTTTACCATATAGGACAATAGCACGATGGATTCAAGCATCTCGTCTTTTTTCGTCATTAAGCCTTTTCACAACATGCTTTAGAGCGATGGAAACGAAACTCCTCACTTTAACGCCACGCAACAACTACCCTTCTAAGCAAATCGACTGTTTTTTGCACTCTACACATCGACAACAGCGCCACCTCACCGCACCCATACCCTATTTACGCATGCGCGCCCTTTTGTGAGTTTCAAGGTTAAGTTGCCACTATTTAATTTACAACCCTCGTATAAAACAGTTTTCTCACAGGAACTAAATACTTAATAACAAAATAATAATAGTTGCGGGATTTTGTTATTAACTATTAACTAAATTAGCCAAATTTACAATAAAAGTATACAGTTAAATAATAAAATACACAAAATAAATTTCGTTGATTTATTATGCTTACTGGCAGTTTATTTTTCATTGATGCTCATTCAAAATTAACATCAATTGAATATTTCATGAAAAACCCATAAAACATTTATTTAAATTAATCAAAAGCATTATTTTACTCTAAGATAAAGTTGGCTTAATGATTAATACCAATTTTTTTTTGGTTAAATACAATACTGAAATGCACTTCCTGTATTATTAAAGGGAAAAAAAAGTTATTTGAGCTATTTCTTTTATTCAAATTTCTAGGTCAGGAATGTTTTTTCTGTCAAAACTGATATAGATTTATCTTAATATTTACTGTTCTGAGATTCTTTGAATTGCTTTTTTTCTTGCACCAAATAAAGCAAAAAAAGTCAAGTCAATTTATTTTTAAAATTAACAATTCAAAAATTTTCCGTCTGATGAGCAGACTGTGTAGGGGTCAGGGAACTGCCCTTGCATCAGAAAGGTCCTGAGTTTGAATCCCGGGCAAGTGATGGGTGTTCTTTCATTCTCTGTACTATTTGTCATCTCTGTGGTAGCAATGTTGACCGACCTAATATGGTGCCCCTGAAAGAGTGGCCAACAAATCTACCCTGTAAAAACCCACATTGATGAATTATTAACACAAGTGGGAAATTGGAAATAAAAATAACTATTTTCTGTTTTTGTGACGTAGGTTACAGTAATTACCATGAATATTTAGTAGATTGCAACGCATTATAATGAAAATGCTTTTCAGGGAAATAAAGTATTAGATAAAAATTGGAGATCCTAAAAAACAAAATAAACTCAAATAAAAGTGGACATTAAGGAAAAAGTGGACGTGACATTTAAATAACGAAACGTATTAATTCAATAAATTTGAAACACACTTAAGTTACTCAACATGACAAGTTTATTGTGTTAAATTTTGCTAAATATTACTAAAATATGCCTAAGTCAATAAATCCTTAAGTAGATTACAATATTTAAAAAAATCATCCAAAAATATTTTTTTCAAATAAATCAAAATAAATCTTAGAAATAGATTAAAAAAATCCGTTTATCAATTTATATCATAAATTATTCAATGATTTAAAATCTATTATGACATAAACGCATGTTACAATTGCAATAGTACTTGGAAATTGAAAATGAACTATAATTATTTGGCATTACAACTGTAAGTTATCTAAATTATATTCAAAGTAAAATGTCAAAATTTATTTTCGAAATTAAAAAAAGATATCCAGATTTGCTATTTTTTGATATAATATCATGAAAAAACCAAAGTGAAATTTTTAGAATCAGCTTTTGTTATTTTGCACAATTCAATTGCATGAATTTGAATGACATAATTCGGTTTAAAAACAGTTACTTATGAATGGAAGTTAGTTTAAGGAATAGTTTAAATTCATTTTTTTTCATATGGATAAAATGTATAAAATATAACTTTTGAGGATGTTCCTCGATTCTGAAAGATATTCAGAAGCGTTTTAAGAGATTCAAGTTAAAAAAAAATTTTTATTGCCTTACATATGCAAATTGTGAAAAATTCTTTTATGGTACATATTTAGACATCACATGATATAATAATCTATCTGGCCTCAATATTCTCTTTTGTGTCTCGTGAAAAAGTTTAAAATATTCATAAGAATGTTGAGTATAAAAAAATCAATAAAATGGAAACTCATTTGCGACAGCAATATGCTACTGAATAATAATAATTTAGAGAGTCTTTACTACAACAGAAAGGTTTCATATTTTGTAGCCAAGAACTTGGTTGTCAAATTTCTATTCATGGGATGTGTCCAAAATAGATAAAAGTAAGATCAATATAACAAAACAAAATGTAGTACTTTTTTTAAAATAATGTAAGCAGTAAGTATCGCACTTAGCATGTTTCAAATTTAAGTATAAGGTGATTCTTTTATTTAAAATTACTTTAAAAGCGACTAGCAAGTCTACAATAACTTGAAATAATTTTTATTTTCGAAATTTTTAAATATATTTTACATAAAAAATATTAATTTGAGAATAAAGAATTTGTGATTCAGGAATACTGTATCCTATAAATTTAAAGTGATGCGTTTCCTTAATGTGGCTTGCTTTTTTTTTTTAACTAAATACTTGATTTATATTATATGTATGTATTAAATTTAAAGTTGCAATGTATACAATCATAAAATGGAAAAATTCAGAACAAAAGCTTAGGAACTATTTTAAAAATCGTCTGGATTAACTATATTTTAAATAAAAATTAGTTAAAAGGGGCAAAGTTTTCAACTAACCAGGAAGAAATTTTGAAGAGAAAATGGAAACTGACTGAACATATCGGTATTACAGGATCACAAGAACGGGATTTAAAATCGGATAGCCCTGTTAGCATCACAATTGTTAATCTATAAAACTCTTGTCCAGCCAGTCTTGACATACGCTTCTGAAGCTTGGACAATGACAAAATTGGAGGAAAATTGTATCGCAATATTTGAGAGAAAGATTTTGCGGGGTATACTTGGTGGTGTAAATGAAAACAATAACTGGAGAATGAGATTTAACTCTGAATAGTACAAGATTTATAAGCAACCTGATATTATTAAAAACATAAAAATAAATATAATGAATTGGATCGCCCACGTGATTCGAATGAGTGACGACAACACAATAAGAAAGATACTGCTTTTCAGACCCACTGGATAAAGAAAGCGGGGAAGGCTGCGGTTGAGATGGGCTGACTCAGTGGAGTCTGATTTTCTCGCAATTAATGAAAAAAATTGGAGATCAAAGATAAATCGGAAGTCGTCATGGAGAAATCTTCAGAGGAAGTCATTGGCTCACATTGGGCTGTCTAGCCAACTATGACGATGATGAGTCCTGTTAGCATCACAATTGCTCGACCAAAAACGTAAAGGTCGAAGGCCGAAACTTACTTGGCAAAGATACTTGCACCAAGATCTGTGCAAAGCAAAATTAGGCCGGGACAAAGATACGTGGAAAAAGATACTTTAGACCTCATGTCGTGTAGAGTACAGGTAGGTATATAGGTAGGTAGGCCGTGTAGAGTACCATCTGCCGTGTAGAGTACAGGTAGGTATATAGACATACTTTTTTTTTCTTTTCAAAAATAAATAAAATAAATGTTCCAAGCATGCTTAGTGGTTGTATGTAGAATGGTATATGATTTTCCAGATTGAAATATTTTATTATTAAGAAATGATTTCTGTATTTCTTGTAGATTAATTTATTTTCTTGTATATTTCTTGTATATATATCTCGTATACTGTATATATCTTGTATATACCATGTATATTTCTTGTAGATTATTTTCTTCTTACATGAAGGCACAATGGGAGAAAAATAAAATAAATCCTTCTTTTGTTTAAAAAAAAATCTAGGCGAATTGCAAAATGCTTACAAATTATGTTTATAAATGTTGCAATCTAAGATTTTTGTACTATTAATAAGACGGTTTTTAGTTTAATCGAAAAAAAATTTCGCTTTGACTATAGTTATTATATATGCTACATACTGAACAGAGTTAAGGACTTCCGTTCTATTTACCACATAAATTATTACAGTATTAAACATGTATAATGCTTTGATTTTTTTTTGCCCTGGCAATGATATGAGACTAATTGACTAATATAACACTAATATAAAACTAAAAGACTAACATGATTTGTTCATTTACGTCGCACTAGAGCTGCACAATGGGCTATTGGCGACGGTCTGGGAAGCATCCCTGAGGATGATCCGAAGACATGCCATCACAATTTTGATCCTCCGCAGAGGGGATGGCACCCCCGCTTCGGTAGCCCGACGACCTGCACGCGAAGTCGAGCACTTTACGGTAGAACAGTTTAACGAAGACCAATACCGCACACCCTCGGTCCCTATGCAGACTGATCCAAGTGGTCACCCACCCGCACACTGACCGCAGCCAGTGATGCTTGACTTCGGTGATCTGCAGGGAACCGTGTCTTAACGATCAGTCCACTGCGGGACTAAAAGACTAACATAAGACGAATGACAAGTTACGGCAGTCAAGAAAGTTTACCGTAAAATTCGATTTTACTGGAACATGTTACGGAACTAAAATGTAATATATCGTAATTTTTAAAGCAGTAATTACGATAAAACAGCTGATTCACTCTAATTAAATAAATATTACTGTAAAAATTACGGTATACTATTTTATAAGTCTATTTTATATTATTACGGTATACTATTTTATATACTATTTTATAATTTCTTGCTAAAATGGGTTTCACGAATGATGATCACAAAGTGTCAGTATTTTATATCGTAGTTTGATCAGGAAATTTTTACAGAGCAGTTAAATTTCCTGTATAATGAAAGTAACACCTTAAATATAATTTGCCCCTATCGACTAAACTGAATGTAGAGCAGAAATTTAACGCAACGTATCGTAACTCAACTTACGTAAAAACTTAATGTGGAGCAGAAATTCAACATTTAACACCGAAATTCAATCATATCTTCTGCTGTTGTAAAATATTTAAAATTCTATGAGTAACTAAAATCTTACGGTTCATGTCTATGATGACTGAACTGGTAACAGGCTCTGTGAGGTTTGAGTTTGAGACTTGACACGTGAGCTTTGTTAGAAGATCTGTTCTCCTTAGACTTGACAGCAGTAATTCATTTCTTGCAAATCCTTGCGGAGTGATGTAGTATGAGTCATCAAGGAGCTCTGCATCTCTCCACCAACGAACAGCTGGTGATGGATCACCTGTAAAAAGGGTTATATCAACTATTATAACTTAGAATATAAAGTGATGCCTGCTCATATCCTTAGCATTGAATTTAACTAATAAGAAATAAACCACTGTTTTTTTTGTTCCATTTTTACAGAATTCTTTCTTTTTATACTTCTTCAACTAATTATTTGACTCATTAGTTAATTATTTTATTCTTCAGTTAATTATTTGATTTGATTATAAAAAAATATAGGATATGAAAATTGTTGAGTAATGTCAGCATTACAAATTTATAAAATAGCTTCATAAATAAATATAACTTCATCTTCTGTTCAATTTACTTAAATATACATTGGAAAATACCGAGAGTGGAAATACATAAAACAGCCACAACAAAAAATTACAGAAACAGCCAAAAATTTATTTCAGCTTGTTTTACCTTCGTAAATTCCATAGACATTTTATATTTCTGTTGTTTTGGTTGTTATTTTTAAGTTTTAGTTTATGTGGAAACTATTGAATTTTAAACATTTTACAAAATAACAAATACATGTTATTTGATAAGTTTTATATTTATCAATTAAGAAATATGTTCTATATATTAATAAACAACTGTAAAGAATAGGGGAAATATATGATAACTGTATAATATAGGATAAACTTACTGTGATTCGTGGTTCATTACTTTCTCAATTTATTTATTTATTTATTTTTGGAAAATTATATCTATTTCTTTTAACCTATTTTTAATTTGGATTTAACTCTTTTCATTAGCAATTTTTGACACCTTAGCTATTTTTAATACTTTACCTGTGACTCCTTAAGTACTACATTGCTAAGTTCTTTTTTTAAAGAAACCATCAAAAATTTATAATATTTTTGGTTAGATATTTGTATTTAATACATCCTTGTTACAATTAACATCACCTTCATTTGCAAGGAGAAACAATTGTATTGCAATGTTAGGAGAATTGTTCTTATCTACTTTTTCATAAATGTGTATCAGTTTAAGCGTTATAAATTTATTACCTATTTCAAACAGTCAAACTTTTATTTTAAAAGAGATTGATCAAAAGTAAATCAGACATTAAAAAAAAATAGTAAAATAAATTTATAATAAAAGATAAAACATCAGCATTGTACGTATTAAGCTTCCTTGATTCTAACAGTCATTGTGCTTATACGTAATCACAGACAATCTAAACTCTTTGTAGGATAGCACCAACCCGTCCTTCTTATTACACCGTCCCAGACTAAGGGAATTAAGCTTTTAAGTAAAGAAATACGCCATCATATGAGTTCTACACTGGGTAAAAAAATATGATCAACCAGAATATGGTAAAATATAGTTTGTTTATGACTTAATAAAAACACTAAAAATCATGGTAATTTTTACGAAGTACTTAGGTTAATGACCTTGGTAACATTAACTATAAAATATGGTGTTATTACCATGTTTAGTATTAGACACTTCGGTAAAATTCCATCTATATACTTTTATCCTAATACCATCGGGCACAGTATGAAAACCATCCATTCCGTTGAATTCATTTTTCATTGTTTTTTAAATTAATGTGTGGTAATAAAAACTATTTTTCTGGTAAACCATTACCATACAAGCAAATAGATTGCCAAGTGAATGGCTTATATAGCTTGGATTTTGGTTTTTTACTAGAATTAACCGAAAATGACATTACCATATAAGTGAGATACTTTTACCAGAATTATTCTTCTGCACAGAAAGCATGACTCAGCTTAGTATGCGGAAAGCATAGAAGGGCAGACTTATAATATTTTAATATCAATAAAGAACTGACATTAATTTTAAAGCGGATTATTTTTAAATCATACCATAGATTGTTCTTGAAGTATTATGGTTTTTTAAAAACATAAACGTGATGTTTGCTTCGAGCATTTATGCGTATGGTAACCTATCACTACAGTATGCTGAGAACAAAAGTAGTCTTAATTTCTGGTATTCTCTTCATGCAATATTAGACAAGTATCCAAATAAAACACACAAGTATCCGATGAAGTATCCAATGAAAAACGTCCACATTCTGACGTATGCAGGGTGTAGTAGTCCCTTCTACTAATAGGTACTAATAAATTTCCTTTCAAATTGAACTAAAAAGATGTACACATAATAGAAGAGAAGAAGAAAAACCGTGAGGAAAATTCGCAATCGCAATTCTGATGAATCACTATTTTTTATTCTTTTTTATATTTTTTTTGTATATAACAGGCGTTGAACAGCTGACCTAATTCGAAGTGGTTATTAATTTTAAACTCCGTAGCCCTGTAATTTGCAACTCAATCAAGAAGACAAGGAAATTCCTGGATAAAGCATCGGGACAAAATAGCCTTTGTGATAAACATTTTGATGCAACTTTACCACATTTGCGGTACTTGGAGAAGAAAACCACGAAATTTTACCACTGTAAGCACATCACCAACGGGAGATGAATCAAACCACAGTAGTAATTTATTAATAGATGAATAATTATTGAGCGAGAGGGCTCAATTGAGTGAATAATTATTGAGCGATTTAAAAATCATAAATATCGTTTAACTGCAGGAGAAAGCTAAAAGGAGTTCAAAGGCATTTCCTATTAATGTTTTTGAATTTCTCTCAGCAATCAATAAGATTTTTTATTTTTAAATTTCACTTTCGCCAGCTGTAGAGTCTCGAAATTGAATAGCGTACATTATTTTCTAGCTTTACTATTTTGTGAGTTGCTTAATTTACATCAAGTCGATTTTATTTTTGACTAAGATTCAGAAACAATCTATTCAGGATGGTGATTACGAAACAACCGGAATGCCTCCCAAAGATTTCCAGTTCTAATTGAAAAATCTTGTACACTTCCAATCCCATGTTCTATAATTAAGTTAGAAAAACAATAATTTGAAACGTCGTGTTTTCCTCCCAAACCCCCCCCCCCGAACTATAAAAAATAAAAGCAATGATATTGCTCTTTCCTAATTTATGCAATAAACAAAAATAAAATCGTATAAAAATATAAATAAACTAGAATAAAGTAACAGACATTTCCTATATCATTTTTAACACTAGAAAATCAACTTTACTAAAAATATTCCAACTAAAATCTTCATTATGGCAGCATTTGATAAATACTAAAGTTATAAACTAATTTTTAAAAGATAAAACTTTTATTTAAAGATTGTCACGCTATTTCTTACGTGTCCCTGAGCACATTAAATGTTTTTAGACCTTTTTATATCACGGAAATACTTAGAACAGCATTTTATCTTTCTTATCTTAGCTATACATCTTTCAAAAATGTCAGCGATTTCAGAAGAAATGTAATAATTTTTTACTGTCAAGACATTAGAGAATTGTGACAGCTGTGATATTTTATATTTCTTTTTTTCTAAAAGAAATATTTGAGAATTTTGTTTTATTTTCTGAAATTTGATTTAGAGTCTTTCTAGGAAATCCTTTGTTTCAATTCATCGCTTCGGACTTCACCGGTTATCGGTAAAGCATTACAATCTTCATGAAAATAAATGCTAGAGTAATAATTTTCCGGTAAATTCACTTCCACACATTGAATTTCATAAATATATTTTCTTATGCTTTTATGTCTGAATATTTTTTCTCCATAGAATTATACTATAATTCTTTTTTAGTTTGTCATCTGAGTTTTAACGGATGCCATGACGAATGAGAACATGTCATAGCATGTATGATTTTCAAATCATGAAGCTCATCCAGGAAATGAAAAAGAATTTTTATTATTGATTAAAAAATAAATAAATAAAACCATGACATAGATTGTAATTTTAAGACATATTTACACTCTTAACAGCTCTCTCTATCACTTTAGATCAATTAAATAATTTAAAAATATTATCTAAATATTAAAACCTATTAACATTTAATTTTTCAACAATGTAAAGCAATTCCTTTTAATCAAAAAATTTTAACAACGTAATTATTCCAAACTGTTGTTTTTAATAATAAGTGGAAAATTTTAATTCTTTGATAAATACATAATATGAGCACTTTAAAAAATGAACAGTGAAAAACAATAATGAAGGCTTTAGTTTTAAATAATAAATAAACAACGGGAGATAAATTCAATTGCTTTTTTTTATTAAATTCAAAGCAATCTCGTCTTTTTCTAAACTAAATAAAAATAAAAGTGTTATTAAAAGAACACAGTTTCTAATATTAATTAACCAAGAAGTCACTCATTTTAATTCTCCAAAGACTAAAACAGTCTTTGTTACTGTATAAATTTTAGCAATCAGCAGCATCATTGAAATTAAAGTAAAAAAAAGACTTTCGGAATGTTTACAATTTTGTGGGCTGTATCTTGACTTCCACGTGAAGAAATTTGCTTTTATAAAAAATACATAAAATTAAAAATATTAGGCTGTCTGTTCAAAGATTTTATTCATTGTCTATTCGAAAATGAAAAAATACCACAAAAAGATTCATAAGAGCACATAATGATATCTATTTAAATGGTAGTATTTGAACTATTTTATTTTAGATAATATTCATTATGAGCTCTTGTTGAATTAATCGTGTTCAGAAAAACCTCTAAAAAGGGAAAACAACCTTATTAAAGTCATTACTCTCCTAAAAAAGTGAAAAGATCGTAGATATGAAATAAATCATTTAAATGCTATTTTTTTTTCAATTTTTTGTAACTAAACTGGTTATCAATAATTAAAGAAAAATCACAAAACTGACCATAACTCAGAACGTTACGCATACGTTTAATGAGACTGGCACACATTGTAATGCTTAGAATAATTTTTAAAAAAAATATAAAAAGTATTGACCACAGACATACATGGTGTTACAGAATTAGCATATTAATGAAATTAATAAGATCTGATGATTTGGAACAGAAAAAGTACATTCAGTATGGGGTATAATTAACCCAGGAACAATACAGCAATGTGTGGTGATTTTAGTTACGCGGTCTACTAGTTCATTTGGAAGCGCGAGTCAATTTTTTTCGCAAAGCGAGGAGAATCGAGAGCAGCTACACGT